TGGACGAGCTCACAGCCCACCTGGTGTTAAGTGGTTATTGGAGCCCATAGACATTTACGACGTAAATGCGCCACCCACCTTGAGATATAAGTTCTAAGGTCTCAAAGTATAGTTACTTAGATCACTAGGGAAGCCCACAATTATTGAAGTTACATAATGTGACAGCTAAACTAAAGAGATCTGGGTCAATCCGAGCTCTTAAAAGTTCGAATTTGAGGGAACAGAGAGAAATAGTATTAAATAAATCCACTTCGCAGACATCTCTGTATCGATCATCGGATAGCCCGCTTAATTTTTCGCCGGATCTTCTCAGCGGGTCGCGATTCCGATCCGCTGGTAGATTCAGCGAAGCACTTCTCTTGTTAAGGCTAGTGTTAGCAAATCATCCCAGGCTGAGCCTTGTGAGCTCACCCACTCAACCGAATTTGGAATAGCCTCTTGAGGCTACCAGCGATTTTTATCCTTATCCCTTTTATCATCGCACCTCTCGCCATCGGAGCAGAGCTCATCCATATTATCTGGAACCGCTGCGTTCATCGACAGTGCGTTTTCAGAGGTATTTTTTGCCACTTACCATCCGGCTATGGAATGAGCTCCCCTCCACGGTGTTTTCCGAGCGCTATGATATGTCCTTCTTCAAACGAGGCTTGTGGAGAGTATTAAGTGATAGGCAACGGCTTGGCTCTGCCCCTGGCATTACTGAAGTCCATGGACGACGCTAACCACTCACCATCAGGTGGGCCGTATGCTCGTCTGCCTACAAGGGCAATAACAAAAAAAAAAGATTGTAGAGAAAAATAGGGCTACTACACCACAAATTATAATGCAGTCCATCTTGAGATTATTTTTTACTGACGAGACTATATTCCTCGTGTTAAGTACTGCTGCCACCCCTGGATATTAATGATAGCAGGGCTAAATAAAAATATGCAAAATTATTGAACATAGTTTCGATTAGTTACGACTAAGAACGCGATAAATGTTCTAAAAGCGTATGTTTTTTATTGTTTTTATTGTTTTTATTGCTTGGATGGATGGACGAGCTCACAGCTCACCTGGTGTTAAGTGGTTAATGGAGCCCATAGACATCTACATCGTAAATGCGGCACCCACCTAGAGATAAGTTCTAAGATCTCAGTATAGTTACAACGGCAACCCTACCCATCAGACCGAAACGCATTACTGCTTCACGGCAGAAATAGGCAGGGCGGTGGTACCGGAGTCTGTGCGGGTAAGACTCACAAGAGGTCCTACCACCAGTAGTATGTGTTGTTTTTTGAAAGGAATCTCCATTGAACTTGTATAATCTATGCTTTTATTATAATAATATTACAAAATATTATAATATGTTTGTATATCCCCTCCCCTTGTTTATCCCCAAATTCACGTCCAAACGAATCAAAGAATTGTTATCTATATATTAATACGTGAAGCAAAAACTTTGTATCCCTTTTTACGAAAATTGCGCGGACGGAGGAGTATGAAATTTTCCACACTTATAGAGAATATAGAGAAGAAGTGCACAATGCTAATTTTTTTTTTTAAATAATGCATAAAAGATACATAAAATCAATAAAGAAAACATTACAGACACTACATACCATGTATTTGACGCATACACGCATGCATACTATTTATTGTCAAACTTTTGTTCTTGACGTCTGTTGTCAAATTGAGAATAGAAAATGTTTTGTCTTTGTTAATATTTTTTATAGTGTAGTCTTAGCGAAATTTGTGATTATAGAAGTATAAAATACAATCATAATAGTGTACAAACTTACAATTCCAATTAATTATAGTCGAATTTCGACTACTGCGGCACCTCTAGCTTAATTTATAGTGACAGTTTGAAGTTAGTAGAGTGACATAGGCTACCGTTAATTCCAGAAAAAATCGCGTTCCCACATGAAACTGTTTTATTGTATATACGAAAAGAAATACGCGACGATTTAGGAAAAAATACATTTTCCATTGACCTCGCGGGTGAAGCTGCGGTTCACAGCTGGTACGTTATAAAATTTGCATCAGAAAGACTACAGATTGAATTTGTTGCGGTAGTTCGTCTTGGGTTTGAGGCTCTTCGAGAAAGCGCTATTAAACCTTACTTTGACATTCAGTAAATTAGTTGAGATGCAGTTTTAAATAATCCTGAACTTTTAAATGACTTTACTAAGTACAATCGGTTACCGTATCGGCTGTTCTTAGTGTCTGCTATATTAAATTAAAATCATTTATTTCAGAAACCAGTCCATAATGTGTACCGTATCAATCCGTATCATTGAAATATTATAAAATGAACATTTACCTAAATATCATCGATTAATGGCATGAGGAATATATCCTGTATTTTACATTATCATTTTTCATTATCTGTGCTGATAAAATAAACTGTTTATCGTTAATCGAAATCGGCAAGTTTAATTATTTATTAGGTTTCCATTGAATTTAATTGTAATTTGTATCAGAGCCATCTACAAGTTTATCGCGGAACTACTAATCAATTTCAATCAAAATAGTTTCATACCAACTGAGCTTTTGTCCTTCTTTCACAGATGGCGCTTTCCTCAAAAATAAGAAAGCGATAATTTTAAAATGCCATACCTACCGAGCGAGTGATATGTAAAGTAGGATCCGGAATTGCGGTTTTTTTATTTGACCTCACACATTTTAAAGCATGACTCTCTAAGAAGCTTCTAGAATCGTTCTTCCGCTCTTTACACGAGAATGCGTTCTTTGAAACAATCTTTCCCACCCTCCATTAAAAATAAACAACATTATTTGAAAGATCAATTTATTTCGAGAGCTTTCATAATAAATGACAATATGCACTAAATTATATTATACATGACTCAAAGATTGCATAAGCAGTATCGCTAATTATAATTCCGCCCATTATAAATACCCACACATACCTAAAATAACAATCGAATTCACATTAGAGCCCAAGCCATGATATTACCGGCGTGATATCCAAGACTTGAACTACTCAAATTGAACCCGGTTAATCTTCACAAAGCTGTTATAACGTGACTAGGTTATTTTCTAATACTAGTGCATTTTCTATTGGGTATGAGCGATGGCAAACAGACGGACCGGACACTCATTCCGACCATTGTATCACCCATACGTGGTTGACAACAAAATGCTCCCCGTATAACCTACAATTAGTTGACACGTTCTCGTCCCAATCGATTTAATAACACAGAAACGAATTTAATAATAATCTTAATTTTATTCAGTTTTTTTGTTCTAAAGTACAATAAAAATAAAATCACTAATAATTGTAGATGCATTTTAAACACCAACAAAAGGAAACTTAGTCTACAGAAGCCCGTTCTACATAACAGTAATAAAGAATCTTTTACTAGTAATTAGAAACTTAGAAGAGATCCAGCCGAAAAAAAGCCTAACAACTACGCCTCATGAAGCCACTGCGTCTACTGCTAATGCCCAATATGAGGGTCTATCGCTGCAGAGGACCTTGAAGATTACGTTACCAACCCCAAAAATAGGGGCGGGGGTTAGCTATATTATCGAATAACATAACAAGCTCTACGACATAAAAAGTTTCGCAACATCTTTTTTTTTTATTCCTTTTTTTTATTCCATTAGAACTTATCAAATTACCGTCCTACTCTTAAAACTTATATATGTATATCGATGACACTACTTGTACTAATTGTAAAGACAAACTAATTTTAAGTTTACACTTTTTTTTTTTTTAATAAATATAAATATTTACTAACAATCACGCCACGTTAACTGGTCCCGTGCTAAGTTCGTAAAGAACTTGTGTTACAGGTACCAGATAACGGAAATAAATATAATATTTTTATTATACACATACATATATTTAATATACACCCATAACCCTAGAAAGACATTTATATTTATCATACAAATATCTTCCCTTGGCGGGATTCGAACCCGCGACCCCCTTGTGTAGTGACCATGTCACTTACCACTACACCAGACGGCGGTTGTTTGTTTGACGTTGTGATTTGTGTAATGTGTTGTTTTCGGTAAGCAAAATCAGGTGGGCCGTGAATACACGTACACATTTAAGGCAATAATTAACGTGATTGACGTTATTCTAGCTATTAGTTGCGAGGTTAAGTGGCTTTAATCAACAAATAGGTCAGATCTAGCGTTAATTTGGCCCGCGAAAACTGAAGAGATGATATTTTAAGATATATGATAATTTAAGTAGCATATTTTACCTATACTGAGACTTTAGAACTTATATCGTTTTCTCGCATTAAAACTGTACTAGAGGTCCCGCAGTAGTCGAAATTCGACTATAATTAATTGGAATTGTAAGTTTGTACACTATTATGATTGTATTTTATACTTCTGTAATCACAAATTTCGCTAAGGCTACACTATAAAAAATATTAACAATGACAAACAATATTTAATCTCAATTTGACAATAAATAGTATGCATGCGTGTGTGCGTCAAACACATGGTATGTAGTGTTTGTAATGTTTTCTTTATTGATTTAATGTATCTTTTATGCATTATTTAAAAAAAATATTAGCATTGTGCACTTCTTCTCTATATTCTCTATGAGTGTGGAAAATTTCATACTCCTCCGTCCGCGCAATTTTCGTGAAAAGGGATACAAAGCTTTTGCTTCACGTATTATTAAAACTGTATAATCTCAAAACTTACTAAATTTTACAGGAGAGTGTTTTAAAGGTTTAACATATCATATTTTTAATATTAATCATCTTTGCAACATTTTTTTTTTAGTTTTTACCAGTTACATTATCTGTCTTTTAAAGATAAAATTATGTATTCATTTTGTTAATAGTAGTCAAAGTCTAAGTAAACTAAAAAAAAAAAAACTAAAACCAAACTACGCTCTTTTGACAGTGTTTATGAGAAAAATACCGGTGATACCAAATGATTCCGCATATTAACTCAATTTCGAATATTTTTAGAAATTGTACACTTTTAATGCGAAAAGACGATACCTCAAGGTTTGTGGCGCATTTACGTCGTAGATGTCTATGGGCTCCAGTGACCACTTAACACGAGGTAGGCTGTGAGGTCGTCCACCCATCTAAGCAATAAAAATATATTCATGAATATAGTATTCGGCAGGGGAAAAAATAAATCATATAGCTACTAAGTAAGAACAGTTCACTACACTTTTTCTATTTTTCTGTTTGCTTAGTATTTATAGATGATTTATAAGTAATATTTTTATTTCAACAAAACTTCATTATCAAGACGAATGTTCCAAATAAAATAAATCCAAAACCTTAATGTCGCTAGGTTAATGTTTGATAGCCTTAAGTCATATGTCCGTTTTTATTGTTATGAACGAATGTCGTGCTGGTATGTCCCGGCTTGAAGGATGCCATTATAGACGAGTCCTTCTTCGTGGTGACACGGGACATGGATGTGAAATCCTGCTGTCCCGAACTGGTAGAGCAGCAGAACGCTCTGCGGAATTCGCGACGAAATTTATCTGAAAAGGAACGTATTAAAAAGGTCATTGTTTATTTTTTCTTTTGTTCCATATTTACATATGAACCTGTTGTGTAGCTGTAAGAAATTAATGGAACCTTAATTGAGTCTCAGTATTATTGTGAAATATCATAGCTATATTGAATTCACTGTGCCGACCCCACCTAGTGCGATAAGGTGGAGACAATGAAGAAGATTGTATCATTGTAGCTATATAATAATAATAATCATAATAATATTTTTTATATAATGTTTTCAAAAACATGTATTTTTATTATAATATCCTTTTTATTATAATAAAAATAATGTATGAATATGAAGATTTTAAATAAATATAGTAGAATAATAATATGAATAAAATCATTTATTGCCTTTCACACAGATCATTAGATAAATAAAAGAAAAGAAAAATAAAAAGGCAAAAGGCTCAAAGTAGATGAATCCATCAGTGGATCTCCGAAGGCTTGGCTCTGTCCATTGGCATTGCTGACATACATGGGCGATGGTAACTCACCATCAGGAGGACTGTATGCTCATTTATTGCCAACAAGGGTAATATAAAAAAAAACTCATATACGAATCCGTTGCGAGTTTTCAAATTGGCATCCTATAAATTGGAATCTATTCCCGATCCTGCGGACCGAATGGAAAGCAGTCGACGTCGCCCAAAACGCGTCATTTCGAATCCTCCTGATCCACTAACGGTGCTTTTAGGTACCACAAGCACCGGTCACCGTTCTCGTCGAACCCGTCACTCGCGACGAAGGGCTCGGCGAGTAAATTAACCCTCAGACACAGCCCACTGCGTTTCTCGCCGGATCTTCTCAGTGGGTCGCGTTTCCGATCCGGTGGTAAATTGTGCGAAGCACTGCTCTTGCTAGAGTTCGTGTTAGCAATGTCGTCATGTTTGAGCCCCGTGAGCTCACCTACTAACTCGGCGAATCTAGAATAACCCCTTGAGGTTACTAGAATAGGTAGGGAAAAAAAACGAATCTACACTAGCCGAATTGAACGCTGGCTTACAAGCTTAGAGGGTAGTGGTCACTGGTCATCTCGGAAACAAAAATGGCAATGGACAGGAAATACAATAAGAGGCATCGAAAAACGGAACAAAAGCATAGTGTTTTGGTACCCTAGAGATAGAAAAAGGAAACGAGGCAGACAGATTCGGAGGTGGAAAGACGAGATAAAGACGGTAGCAGGAAAACTATGGACAAGGAAATCTCTATGCCGAGTAGAGTGGAAAGAAATGGAGGAGGCCTTTGCCAAAGTTGGGCAAACAGACGAAGTTGTCGATGTAATCGGCTCGGCCGAGCCGTTAATTTAAGTTTATTATTTGTAAATATCCTTTGCGTCTGAATAAAGGCTTTTATTATTATTATTACAAGCTAAACTCACCGCTCATGAGGTTGTAGATCAATGGATTTATGGCGGAATTCGCGTAGCACATGACGTGCGAGACAAGCGCCCAAATGGTTATGAATTCCGTTTGTCCCATATCAATGGTGTAGCTGTAAGAATATTTATGATTTATTACTACTAACATAATACCTATGTTTACGTTACGACACATTTTATTACTGGTGGTAGGACCTCTTGTGAGCCCGCGCTGGTAGTTATCACCAACCTGCTTATTTCTGTCGTGAAGCAGTAATGCGTTTCGGTTTGAAGGGTGGGGCGGCCGTTGTAACTATACTGAGACCTTAGAACTTATATCTCAAGGTGGATGGCGCATTTACGTCGTTGATGTATATGGGCTCCAGTAACCACTTAACACCAGGTGGGTTTTGAACTCGTCCACCCACCCATCTAAGCAACAAAAAAAACATGATTGATATGGACACATTGAACTGTCGCTAAGCATAATATCTATTTATTAATATGTGACACCAAAATGTTGTAGGTACCGCTTTTTACGAAAATTGCGCGGACGGATGAGTATAAAATTTCCCACACTTATAGTTTATATAGAGAAGGAGTGCAATGTGCAAAAAGTGTTTGACAATAGAACCATAATAATGTTTAAACATAATTTTTTTTTTTGTTGCTTAGATGGATGGACGAGCTCACAGCCCACCTGATGTTAAGTGGTTACTGGAGCCCATAGACATCTACAACGCAAATGCGACACCCACCTCGAGATATAAGTTCTAAGGTCTCAGTAAGTTACAACGGCTACCCCACCCTTCCAACCGAAACGCATTACTGCTTCACGGCGGAAATAGGCGGGGTGGTGGTACCTACCCGTGTGGACTCCCAAAGGTCCTACCACCAGTGATTACGCAAATTATAATTTTGCGGGTTTGATTTTTATTACACGATGTTATTCCTTCACCGTGGAAGTCAATCGTGAACATTTGTTGAGTACATATTTCATTAGAGAAATTGGTACCCGCCTGCGGGATTCGAACACCGGTGCATCGCTACATACGAATGCACCCGACGTTTTATCCTTTAGGCCACGACGACTACAATTTGAATTAATTAAAGTCGAATTTCGACTAGGTACTGCGGGACCACTAATATAAATACGCAAATAATTATCAATGCCACAAATAAAACGAATAATCTATATTTAACTACATTTATTTATTTTTTATTACAAACTAATGACCCGCCCACGCTTTGCTTCGGAAACATTAAATTTTATTAGTGATAGCTGAGTCCCGCGATGTTAACCGCGGTTATTGTCGTACCGCGGGTGACGCCGCGGGGCGAAGCTAGTCTAAAAAAAGTAGCCTAAGTTACTTCTTATATCATCAGCTACCTATCAGTGAAAGTCCCGTCAAAATCGGTCTAGCCGTTCCAGAGATAAGCCGGAACAAACAGACAGACAGACAGACAAATATTGTAAAAAATGTTAATTTGGTGTATGTACCGTACATATATTCATATGCATGTAGTAAAAAGCGGTTATTTCAATATTACAAACATACACTCCAATTTTATTTATATAATAATAATAATAATAATAACACTTTATTTAACACCATATGTACAGAGTGAGCAAATAAAACATATAATAGTCGGTGACATAAATTGGCGGCCTTATCGCTGAAAGCGATCTCTTCCAGGCAACCTTGCAGGGAGAGGAATAAGTGGCCTGGACGGTGCTATATCATAATAAACTTACATAAAAATATATACATAAATACACATGTGAAAAATAAATACAATATAAGATACACTTACATACGATTAAAAACAAATAAATACTAAAAATATGCAATTAAATACAAAATAAGTAGCAACTTGTACAGTTATATTGTAAGAGCCATATTATTGTGCAAGGTAGTGCGATTTTAATCTGAATTTGAAAATGAAATTATATGTATAGATGTAAATGTTTTTTGTTCGGATGTTTGTAACTCAGTGACGCAAAAATGGCTGAGTGAAATTTCAGATAGAGTTAGTTTAAGCATGTGTTTAAATACGGATTTCCTCAATAAAATTCGGTATTTTAGGTTAGAGCATCGATATATCGCCGGAGCATGTATTAAATACGCGTTTCCCTAATATATTAATACAATAATTCTGTTAATTGGTGGTAGGACGTCTTGTGAGTCCGCACGGGTAAGTACTACCACCCTGCCTATTTCTGCCGTGAAGCAGTAATGCGTTTCCATTTGAATGGTGATGCAGTCGTTGTACCGTAAAACAATCGGTTGTTTGTAAAGTCGGTTTACTGACGATAGTTGAACGTGACAACGTCATAAGAAAATACTGATGGAATGGTTTCATTTTTCAATTATCGTTGCTATAAACAATTGATACCACATTCACTTTTCACTGAACTTCATACCTACTTGACGAAAACATGTTTTTTTTTTTTTTATTGCCTTCGTAGGCAGACGAGCATACGGCCCACCTGATGGTGAGTGGTTACCGTCGCCCATGGACTTCAGCAATGCCAAGGGCAGAGCCAAGCCGCTGCCTACCGCTACGCCTCACCTCAGAGCGAGGTAACGCCGCATGAGTCATGTTTTTTCGTGCGTGCAGCCGGCTCCATCGAATTATAAAACGTTGTCTCGTCAAAACCTTAGAACTCATGTCTCGAGTTGGGCGGCGGCATTTACATTGTAGACATGTCTATGGGCTCCGGTAACCTGTTAACACCAGGTAGGCTGTGAGCTCGTCCACCAATCTAAGCAATAAAAAAAATCTATTTACATCGTTACAAAGCTTACTAATGCGAAGTCATACATGCGAATTCTCACAAACTACCAAGTGTCATTTTGAATAAATTAACATAGTTCATTAAATATTTACTCATCAAATAATGACGTTGCCAATAAGTTACGCTTCAGAAATAATACCTATGTCGTGGCTTTTCGTATTTCGCCTTAATCTACATTTGCTTAGAGGGTAAAACATGTCGTCTTAAGTAATACGCCCTACCAATACGGTTATGTGAGGCAGGGACGACTTTTACATCTTTTAAGTTAGGTAATCTATAAGGTAAACAGACTTGAATGGTCTCTTCGAAAGAGGATATCCGAGAGAAGAGTGTGAGGGCAGAGATGAAGTATAATAGGCTTCAATTTTAAAAGAGGACATGCAGTGTCGACTCCACATAGGGGCTTAAGGTAAGAAGAAGATTTTTTTATTTTTTTTATTGCTTAGATGGGTGGACGAGCTCACAGCCCACCTGGTGTTAAGTGGTTACTGGAGCCCATAGACATCCACAACGTAAATGCGCCACCCACCTTTAGATATAAGTTCTAAGGTCTCAAGTATAGTTACAACGGCTGCCCCACCCTTCAAACCGAAACGCATTACTGCTTCACGGCAGAAATAGGCAGGGTGGTGGTACCCACCCGCGCGGACTCACAAGAGGTCCTACCACCAGTAATTACGCAAATTATAATTTTGCGGGTTTCATTTTTATTACACGATGTTATTCTTTCACCGTGGAAGTCAATCGTCAACATTTGTGACAGAAATTTGTGACATTGAAGATGACACATTATCGCTATAAGACGGCCGGTGTACTGGTATCGTGACAATGCGGTTGTGTCCGTATTCAAATCCCGAAGGTGGGTATCAAGTTTGTTAATAAAATACGGCCCAGATAGTGTTAATTGATTACCAGAGCCTTTTTTTTATTGACCTTGTAAGCAGACCAGCGTGCGGCCCACCTGATGGTGAGTGGTTACCGTTGCCCATGGACTTCAGCAATGCCAGGGGCAGAGCCAAGCCGCTGCCTACAACGTCTATAGGCGTTACTACGTAAATGCGGCCACCCACCCGTTGGCGCCTCAAGTATATACCAATTACGCAGACTGTGTAGTTATTCCGGGTTTGATTTTTTACACGATGATATTGCTTGCTTAAATGTAGATAAAGAACTCCTATAGTTTGGGGTCAATCGATACGAGATCGCTGGAAGCTTAAGGGGCTGATCCAGCTGCGCACGGACGATTAGGTGACCTCGCAGGCTCAACCTGAGAGAAGTTGCTAACACCAGCCCTAGCAAGAGCAAGTGCTTCGCATATACTACCACCGGATCGAAACCGCGACCCCCTGAACAGATACGGTGGGCTGCGTGGGATACCAGTACACTATTAGAAACACAGCCCATACGAAACCACGAAACTTGAAAGGAGATAATATACTCAGTTGCATCATCCATCAGTTGAACAACTCTTAAAATCTTAACTACTGCAGAACGGACTAATGTTTCGGAGCTTACGACATCATATTAGAATTGAAATCGAATATTTATTATTTACTAGCTGACCCGGCAGACTTCGTAGTGCCTGAATCGATAAATAAAAGACCTAAACTTTTGTATAAAATAAACTTAAAACAAACAAAAGGAATCCGTCTGACGGGGGACACATCAAAAGAAAAACAAAATTGTTATTTTTATTTAATTCCGAACATTTTCATATTTATCTAACCTTTTAAACCTTCTCTGGACCTCCACAAATAATTCAAGACCAAAATTATCCAAATCGGTCCAGCCGTTCTCGAGTTTTAGCGAGACTAACGAACAGCAATTCATTTTTATATATATAGAAGATAGAAGATACATAAGTAGGATAAAATTAGTCAAAAACACGCATATGATATATTAATGAGAACTAATAGTTCAAATGTATAGAATACATGTGCGTTAGGCATCTGAGTATTTGACCACATCAATATGTATTTTGTGATCTAAAAAAAAATCTAAAGGATATTTAAAAAAAAAAAAGTGAAATGATTTCTAATTAGGTTATAGTCACAACTTACCGCATCACAGATAGCAGGTGAACGGGGAAATAGCATACGGCGAACATTATCACAACTGACACCAACATTTTAGCTGCCTTCCTTCTAGAACGGAGTTGTGCTAAAACAAACACAAAATATTAATGAGTTCGAACGCCCTCCGTCCACTTGGAGTTAAGCAGCTATGAGAGTCCGCATGGGTCTCAATAACCAACCACCACTTGGAGACAGTGAGAGAGAGAAGTTTTTTATTACCCAAATAAAAAAACCGTTATTATACCCATGTCAAGAAAATTGTGGCCTTTAGTTTAAGCCTCTTATTTCCAGCACGTCGCGCTTCCAATCCCTCTTTAACCATGGCTCGAGTGATATCCCAAGGCAGACGATGACGTAATGATTCCCGAAGCCGAAACTTATATGATGCGAAAACAGCATTAACTCTCTATCTGCCATGTTCCCTCGTCACTATAAGTATCATGTCACTAGATCGCTTATTGTAATACATTACGTAAAATTATTTTATTTTTGTTATATAAATCAACGTAAATATCATTTTTTGTATCAGACGAGAGTATGGCCTAGCTGATAGTAAGTAGACACTGTAGCAGGTGGACATCAGCAATTTTATTGATGGTAGGACCTCTTGTGAGTCCACACGGGTAGGTACCACCGCCCCGCCTATTTCTGACGTGAAACAGTAATACGTAATTATACTTGAGACCTTAGTACTTATATCTCAAGGTGGGTGGTGCATTTATATGGTAGATGTCTATGGGCTCCAGTAACCAATTAACATCAGGTGGCTGTGAGCTCGTATACCGATCCAAGCAAAAAAAAATGCGGTATAGAGTATGTAAGAAATTACGGAGATGGTATGTAAGCCTGGTATGACCTGGCCAGTATTTGGTATTCAGGCCCATTTTTCTTGTTCATGTCATTTTTGCGGACTCACAAGAGGTCCTACCACCAGTAATAACCCATCAGATAAATAATATTTAACCACTGAAGTAGGAAACCTATGGAAATGAAACGTCAACAAAAATTCGTGCCACTGTGACGTCATCTGGCCACAAAACATGGCGGTTTTAGTGCTGCCCAGAAAATTTTAATGTTAGTAGGTTTTATCGATAAACGTTTTTGGCTCATTTTATTTTAAATATTGTTGAGTGAATGTATTTGTAGAATTTATACTTTAATAGGAAGTAAGTATATTGTTAAGTGCAAAGATGATGTGATTTAGATATTATGTGAAATCTAAGACGAGTTCGTGCTTCAAATTTGCCAAGTAAACGATATGACGATTTTTAAAATTTGCTACACTGATTTTATAAAGTTGTCGTTTGCCGCAAAACATAAAGATATGGCGTAGTACAGTGCCATCTGCCCATTTCTAGCATGCTGAATGTTATCTTATTTTGAGTACGTGTTTTTCTTAGACTATTACAATCTGTTTTAATTGTTTTGCTGACTCTAAAGTCCGTAACACACTACCGCAGCGCACCTCAAGGAAGGTACGCCGCACCATTTGAATCACTCTCACTTGAGAGTGATTCAAATTTTAAACTTATCAAGGGATCGCCTGATAAAAAAAACACCTACAGAACATTTATTCGTTAATAAAATTACAGACATTCCTTGTGACTTCCTCTCTAAAATCACTTAATTATTAAATATTTAACGAGTTGACAATAGTGTTATAAAACTATTTTATTTAAATAGTTCCGACGACTTTCTTGAGATCCTATAAAATATGTTTTAATTATTATTTTTGTATGTTTTAAGCATGATAAAATAAGAAATTTTATATAAGCAATCATATTAAATCGATATCAAAGTCAATAAATAATGTACAACCCAAAACAGACGGCCGAACTGACGTGACAATGACATTTGGCGCGCTAAACATGGCGGATTTTCGGCCTCATTAGACGGAGACGGAGACATTTACGTATATTCATGTTTCATTTTATGTACGCACTGAAATACTGTTATATTGTTTTCCTGCGAGTTAAAGTGGTGAGTAAGAACGAGATAGATATATGTTTATGTATGTGCCTTCAAAATGGGTGCTATTTATATAAGCAATTGTACGTATAGAACAATATGTCGTGTCCCTACTATATAGGTCTATGTATTTAACCCATCAAACGTTTGTTTGACACGAAACCAAAATCTTTTAAATATTCCGAATACTATTAAATTTCATAGGAAAATTATTCAAATCCCGAAACACGCCAAATATCCTTCGACGTTGAAAATTAAGATCCTTCGTAAATTTCTCATCTTACGCGTTGCTTTAATTGTCGTTTCCAAGAAATTAATTTCGATTATTAAAATGTAATAAGAAACTTGTTGTTTATTTATGGCGAAAATATTTTTGTGCAATTCGTAAAAGAGGTGGCTTTTCGAAGTAATCATCATATTTTTTCCTCCCTACTTAATCTTTGGTAGCTTTTTTTGCTCTCCTACCTATGCTGATAGCCTTGAGAGGCTATTTCATCTTCTTCTTGACGTGTAGTTAAGCATACGAGGCTCAAACCGTGAATGTTGCTAACACCGGCCTTAACAGGAGCAAGGCTTCGCAGAATCTACCACCGGATCGGAAACGCGACTCACTGGGAAGATCCGGCGAGAAACTCAGTGGGCTGTGTCTATGGCTTAATACACTCGTCGATCCCTTCGTCACCCACGACGGGCTTGACGAGAACGATGACCGGTGCTTGTGGTACCTAAAAGCACCGTTAGTGGATCGTGAGGATCCGTAATGAAGTGTTTTGGTAGCATAAGGGGCTATTCCAACTACGCGTGGACTGCTAACGGAGCACAATCTGGGAGGACTTACTAACACGGGCTAGTAGCTGTAGTAGGGCCGACTAGTTGCAAGAGCTGTGCTTGTATGGGGTCTGCTGCGTGAGTCTTCGTTCAGGCAATATGGGGTTTAGATCCGTTACCGGAATGATTATGTCCAATTTTACACACACAGCAATTTATTAGATAAAAACGATCAGAAGGAGAAAAGTGACAAGCACAAGCACAGTTGAATAGTTTACAGCAAAACGGTAAGAAAAAGTCCAGGCAAAGAAGGAGACATAAACTATATACACTAAACATTCAATATAAACTTGGTCAATCGAGACAGGCGTATGCGAGTAAATGTGACGTGAGCTTCGCGGTCAGAGGTCTGCGGACGACTGGCGCAGGAAGATGCGACGACGCACCTTGCNTCCAGGCAAAGAAGGAGACATAAACTATATACACTAAACATTCAATATAAACTTGGTCAATCGAGACAGGCGTATGCGAGTAAATGTGACGTGAGCTTCGCGGTCAGAGGTCTGCGGACGACTGGCGCAGGAAGATGCGACGACGCACCTTGCGCCGTTCACACAAAGACTTGTGAACTACGCAATCATGTGTAAGTCACCACACTTGCTTCGCTGAATCTACCATCAGATCCGATATGCGACCCACTGAGAAGATCCGGCCAGTAACTTAGTCGGTTGTCTCTACGTGCTAGGTTGGACGTCGAAATCTTCGACGAATTTGACCAGAATGGTAACCGGTCCTTGAAGTGCCTAAAAGCGCCGAGATTGGTACGGGATGGTCCGAAAGGATATGTCTAAGGTCACGGCGGTTTTGGGTAGTCTTGTCACCTGGGTCGGTAATGTAAGTAAACGACCACAATAAGGAAGCTAATGAAATGAAATGACAATGAACTATTTCAACAACAAGTCCATTTATGTACATAATATAATCATTTAAATATATTTAAAATTAACAAAACAAATAAAAATGTATATGATTAAAAAATTATTATCGGTTGAAAACATTTCAATATTCCATTCAAACTGATACCTATTTAGACTCAACCATCATTATTTTTATTTAGTCCACAAGTGAACTATGTTACAATGGCTCAAGTACTGACCGTCAGGAAGGTCTGCTAATGCTTTATGACTTGATATAAGCAGTAAGACCTATTAGAGTGGTTACAAGCAGCCTTGATTACGTCGACAATAACTAATAGGTACCAGTTTTGATACCATGATCTCGTTTTTACCATCGCACCGCCCGCCGTCGGAGTAGAGTACATTCATACTACCTGGAACCACTACGTTCAACCACAGTGCGTATTCAGAGATCTTTTTTTGCCACGTACCATCCGGCTTTGAAATGAGCTCCCCTCCACGGTGTTTCCCGAGCGCTATGACATGTCCTTCTTCAAACGAGGCTTGTGGAGAGTATTAAACGGTAGGCAGCGGCTTGGCTCTGCCCCTGGCATTGCTGAAGTCCATGGGCGACGGTAACTACTCACCATCTAGTGGGCCGTATGCTCGTCTGCCTACAAGGGCAATAAAAGAAATGTTTGAAGTCTCAATTACAATTTTCTGTTACGACCGCCTTGTAATTTGACAGAAGGATCGACTGACGGTATATATTGGCAAGATGCCCACAAAACATCCTCGCATCGCAAATTTCCCTTTTCAATATATATATTTTTTTTTATCAGAGCAATAGTATTAATATTATTTATCGTTAACTGTTTATCTTTTGACGTTATCAAAGTAAAAACAACGCATCGTCATTTAACAATAAGGTCGACAATAAATTAGAATTGATATAGAATGTCATTTTTGTTTAATCGTAGGTAATTCATTTTGTGTGCTGCTTAAAGTGGAGCTCTTCCAAGAGATCATAAATAACATACAGTAAATTGGAGGGAATCGGGACTCTTTCCAAATTCAACAAAAATGTTCAATGGTTTTTTTAGGGTAATACCAATAAAATTGAGATTAAAATGGTTCCGGAGGCTTAATTTTTTATATACAAAGCGTTATTATACATAGTTCATTACAAAATATACACAAAAACTGAAAAAACTAGCTTTACCTGATTCACTTTGGCTTTGGGGTGAATCAGGTTACGTATGGGGACAATAGAATTTTTCGATAGGGTTGGCACTATTTAGTTGTTAGGTAGGTACCTAACTTTAGGTAATTAGCTTTTTAATATCTATAATGTGTTACAAAACTTTGATGACCAAAATTAAACTATTTAATATTCTTAAACAATAAATAAAAGTCATTTTCAGTTGAACAAATTTAAATCTAACAACTCAACAAAAGTATTGTGACATCCCAGATTTGTCCCTATTCTAACCCTAGTCTCTATTCTCCCCAATCAACTGTATTTACATTTTGACATTGAAACTAGGGATCGGAGCCTTAATTGCTGGTATAACAGCTATCATTTTTGATCTATTAACTATCTTTCAAACGTGAGCAATATACATACCTCAAATTGCTTGTTCCCGATATTTAGACGCATGAGTCAACTATTTGTATAGACTTTCTCCAAAAGGTATTTTGCATTCTGCTCCCTTTAGACTCTAATTATTTATTGCTCTTATGTTACAAAAACCGTCTATCGACAGCATTTACATACCGAATGTGCATTGGATATTATTATACTGGTCATTTTCGACATTTTACGAGGCGAAACAAAAGGGGATACACACTTTTTTTAAGAAAGCAATTTTTCTAATGTTAATGGCGACAAAATACGAATAGTTTATTTAATTTAGCAGGCGCCTAACATCAAGGAATTCTTTTGCGCTTACCGCAAACAAATAGCAGATATCCAAATATTTACAGCGATAAATGCAAAACGCGTGTGATGTGTGTTTGTGTTTTCTTTTACAAAGTGACGATATGTAATCGATATCCACCCACGATAATTAAGAGGCACGCGAGCTTTCGTTCGCTTAGTATAACTAGTGGTCCCACGGTAGTCGAAATTCGACTGTAATTAATTGAAATTATAAGTTTGTACACTATTATGATTGTATTGTCAAAGAATTATTATATTTCTATAATCACAGATTTCACCAAGACTACACTTTAGGTAAATATTAATAAAGACAAACAATATTTAATCTATTCTCTATTTGACCACAGACGTCAAGAACCAAAGTTTGACAATAAATAAATAGTATGCATGCGTATGTGCGTCAAATACAAGGTAGTGTGTGTAATGTTTTTTTTAAATGATTTAATATATTTTTTAGGCATAATTTAAAAAAAAAATTAACATTCTGCACTCCTTCTCTATATTCTCTATAAGTGTGGGAAATTTCATACTCCTCCGTCAGCGCAATTTTCGTAAAAATGGATAGAAAGTTTTTCCTTAACGTATTAATATATAGATGTTATTACATCGCGCGCCTGCTTGCTTGTTGGACAACTAAAGTGGCGGATGAAAGACGATTGCATGCAGCAGAGATGCGAATGTTGCGATGGACGTGTGGAGTAACGAGAATGGATAGAATACGGAATGAATATGTTAGAGGAAGTCTGAAATTGGCACCTGTGAAAGAGAAGCTGTAAAGTGCGCGTTTGGGTTGGTATGGACATGTGATGAGATAAAATGAAAATGAGGCTGGTAAGAGAGTGTTAACTATGAACGTGGAAGGATACAGAGGAAGAGGTAGACCTAAGAAGAAATGGATTGATTGCGTGAAAAACCTGCTTATTTAACTAATTCTTTTCAATACTTAGGGTCTGACCACAGCCGAAATCTTCGTTCATCTCACAATCTTCTTCTTCGCTGTCCTCCACATAGTTCTGACTTTTTACATTCTTCATTCATAATTCAGTCTATTCTTCTATGGAATGCGCTCCCACTCAAAATAAGGTCGACCACTACACGTGAAGCGTTTAAGACGAAGGTTCGAGAACTGTTTCTCAGAGAGTTAGCAGAGTCATCTAATTGATAATATTTGTTTATATATGTTTTTATATGTATATATTTATATATATCTATATATTTATGTATATGTATTTATTTAAGTACTATGTATTATATATGTTATATATACACATAATATATGTTTAAGTAAAATACCCTTCACACTACACCTACCAAGCTTCATCTCTGCACTCCCCTAAGGTAGACTGTTACGGCCTGGCCACGGGGATCGGCGGTGCGAACGGCGAAGCGGTGGATGAGGCGACCATTCGCGCAGCACCGTTTGCAGGCCACGGGTACTCACGTTCGCCGCCGCGACTAGTAAGGAAGTCCGACAGCGAAATGTCTATATCGAAATTATCTCGATATTGCTTACAAATTAATAATTTTTGGTTCAGGACCTATTATTTGGAAAAGATTGTGAAGTACATGATTTGAATAAGAATCGGAGTATACCTATAGATGGAGAATTCCACAAGAAGTACGAGAAATACTTTGGGTGGCTAGACTTCCAAATAGCTGGTCTAGCTAGTATTTCAGCTATATATTTTTTTTATTGCTTAGATGAGTGGATGAGCTCACAGCCCACCTCGTGTTAAGTGGTTACTGAAGCCCATAGACATCCACAACGTAAATGCGCCACCCACCTTGAGATATAAGTTCTAAGGTCTCAAGTATAGTTATAATGGCTGCCCCGCCCTTCAAACCGAAACGCATTACTACTTCACGGCAGAAATAGGCAGGGCGGTGGTACCCGCGCGGACTCACAAGAGGTCCTACCACCAGTAATTACGCAAATTATAATTTTGAGGGTTTCATTTTTATTACACGATGTTATTCCTTCACCGTGGAAATCAATCGTGAACATTAAAATTTGTTAAGTACGTATTTCATTACAAAAATTGGTACCCGCCTGATATTCGACTACCGGTGCATCGCTCAGCACGATTGCACCGGACGTCTTATCCGTTAGGCCATGACGACTTTAAAAATATAAAATAAAAAAAATAAAAAAAAAATTTCGGCGTTAATTTTTCGCGGCGAAAACAACTAAACTCATTTAATCACTGTACTATTCGCCGCGACTACCGCTCGACTCCGTGGCTCGCGCCGTCCGTATTCATGCATTTGTTTTGCTCGCCCGCCGCATCGCGCGATTCGCTCGGTACATTTCGCCGGTCGCTTCGCCGGTCGCCGGTGCGCGTGGCTTGNGCTCGCGCCGTCCGTATTCATGCATTTGTTTTGCTCGCCCGCCGCATCGCGCGATTCGCTCGGTACATTTCGCCGGTCGCTTCGCCGGTCGCCGGTGCGCGTGGCTTGTTAGGTACATTTCTATGCGCTTATTTTAGTCGCTAGACGCTTCGCCGTTCGCACCGCGCGAATATTCGTATCGGCGAATGTCCCGTGGCCAGGCTGTTAGAGAATGCCTATGGCATTAAGTCCGCCTTTATACTTTCTAGTATAAGAAGTTATAAATAAATAAAAATAAATAAATAAAAAAAACGATATGTGTAAGAGGGGAGTGAGCGAAGAAATGGCATATGATAGAAAAGTATGAAAGGAGAATACATGTTGCCCCGACCCCAGGTGACTGGGAGAATGGCAGGAGAATGGTGATGATGATGATGATGACATTGCGGGCCTGCGTGTTCTTAGGGACTCTTAGAACTGAACACAAATTAATGTACCGCAAGCCAATGGAATGGACCGGCCAATAAATGAAAACCACAAAACCACGCTGGGAAGTCCCCTAATTTAGTGTAGTAGGATGACTTCGAGCAGGGAGAGATGGTAGGATATCGTGAGACACGTCAAGTCCGCCCCTACAGCACTGCATGACGATCGGACCACTCCGTCAAGAGTGACACGATTGAGAAGAAAAACCGCATGTGACTGTCACAGAATTGTTGTGACTTTTTATTTCTTAGACGGGTGAATGAAGTCACGTCCCACCTATGTGGGACGCTTAGTGCGAGTTTTTTAACGTTGCCGATAGCGTAAAAGTTAACTCAAATTTGTATGCAGTTGGAACAGCGCCCTTAGCGGCAAACTTAGGCAAACGTTCCAACTTCATACAAATTTTTGTTAACTTTCACGCTATCGAGAATGTTAAAAAGTTCGCACTAAGCACACAGGTGTTTAGTAGTGGAGTCCGTAGACATAAATTTCAGCCACCGATCTTGAGACATGAGTACCCGCTGTCTCGGTTTTTTTTTATTGCCCTTGAGACAGAAGAGCGTACGACCCACCTGATGGTGAGTGGTTACCGTCGCCCATGGACTTCAGCAATGCCAGGGGCAGAGCCAAGCCGCTGCCCCTACCGCATAGTTCAGTTCAGTACTATACCGCATCAGTTCTATAATACAACAGCTGCTACATCCTTCAAACCGAAGCGCATTACTGCTTCGATACAGAAATATACATAGTGATGGTATTTACCACATACGGACTCACAAGAGGCCTTACCACCAGTAATCACGCAAATTATTATTTTTTTGCGGATTTCATTTTTGTTACACGATGTTATTAAAACGCATCTTTTGTTATGTGACCAGTCGTACTGTGAAGCATATTTCGATACCTCACATAAGTCTAGGGTTGGCAGAAGAATTATTTTGTTCATTAAGTCCAAGTACTCTTTATTCCGAAAATATGTAGAACGTTTTTCTCTTCGAATCAATTATTCTAATGGAACACTATCTAAAGTATTCGGCTTAGTATAATTTTTGTGGAACACCCTGTATAATCGAAAGAGAATCTTAAAGCCGTGTTCTAATCGAAAGTGCATTAAGATCAAATTTTATTAAGCTTCTTGGATGAGCCGACATCTCAGGCCCTGTGAAACTAATAGTATCTAATACTAATAGTACCAATCTATTAATTCTTATCGTAAAATTACCTATTGTTTGAGTGAAATTCTGACTTGGTAAGAATTAATGAAGGATCAAAACACACATCTTGGAAATAACAAAAAAAGCAATTAATGACGTACTCAGTTCTGCAGTGGCCAGTTTCTTTGTGTCGGCCTGTCCGGGAATTCCGTTGGAGCTCCAAAGCACCCTCGCTATCTGATGATACGCGACGGCCATGAGCACGAGGGGTAGTCTGTTAAGCAAAATAAAGTTTCAGTCTTCAAAAGCATACATTATCTCATACATTTAGCTACAACAACTTCGCACTTTTACTCTAATCTATATATTTATATAAAAATGAATTGCTGTTCGTTAGTCTCGCTAAAACTTGAGGACGGCTGGACCGATTTGGCTAATTTTGGTCTTAAATTATTTGTGGAAGTCCAGAGAAGGTTTAAAAGGTAGATAAATATGAAAATGCTCGGAATTAAAAAAAGACAATTTTGTTTTGCCTTTGAAGTGTCCCCCGTCGGACGGATTCCTTCTGTTTCTTTTAAGTTTATATCATACAAAAGCTTAGGTCTTTTATTTATCGATTGAGGCACTACGAAGTCTGCCGGGTCAGCTAGTAAAATAATAAAATGACAACTTTATAACGTGAACTTATAAAATCTAAGTCGAACCCCACAGACACAGCCCACTGAGTTTCTCGCCGGATCTTCTCAGTGGGTCGCGTTTCCGATCCGGTGGTAGATTCTGCGAAGCACTGCTCTTGCTAGGGCCAGTGCTAGCAACACTCCGATTTGAGCCCCGTGAGCTCACCTACACGTTAGGGCAAAGCTGAAATTGCCTCTCAAGGCTATCAGCGTAGGTAGGAAAAAAAAGTTTTAGCATGAATAAACCTAAATAGTATTTCATGCCGATGCCGCAAAATATCATAGAAAATTAGTTCTAAGCGAGCAAAGTCTCAAAAGAAAACAAAACGCGATAAAGAAAAATCACTTTCCATCTATACAGATTGACGTTGAATTTATTTTATCAAGCTCCGCTTGGACGATTCGGGGCAGCGGAACGCGAGGCTCACGAAAAATGACAGTATTCGTTAGCCAACTTTTTATTTCCAACGATTGTTTTGTTTTCATTGCGAGTAACAATTTTGAGGTTGAATTGTAATATTTCCATGTTTACGTTTCTAATTAATTTTGAGATCCCTTGCATTGGCGTCACTTTACGCTTCTTTTTTTTCGTCGGAGTCGAACCGACTAAGAAATCATGAAAAGGCAAAGGGGGAAGAGCGAAGCGTTGAGTGCGGAGCACATATCTCCTGTACCCCCCCCCCCCTCGGGACGCCGGACCGGCAGTCATCGGCGCCACGACCACCAGCCCTCTCGGTCGGCAGGCTATCCGGAGCCCGCCTAGATAGCGCCGATTAGAGTGGTTATCCTACGGAATACTCCGCTAGGTCAGAACCAGCGTGGGTCGAGGATAGCCGGCCTTCCATCACCCAGATGCTCTTGCGTAAAACGCGTGCAGAGCAGATTGCACGTCGTCTTCTTAGGCCCCCTTCGCCAGTCCCCAGACTGACATATGAGGGGTACCCGAAACACTTAGAGGTCCAGTTACTTTACGCTATGAGCTTGAAGGTTTACAACTCTATTTCTTCCGCAAAGCGAATTTCGGTTTGAAGAATCGGTCAGGACTTGTCCTAACAGAAAAATTAACTAATTTCCGGAGAGAAAAGCCTGTGTTTCGCTCATTTTCTCACGTGTATGAGAGGGAACTCTCGTGGTACTAATACATTGATTTTGCCTACCAGTGCCTATTTGCTATCTAAAGCCTACTACACGGTAGGCCTTATGGGAGGACTATTGTCCTGATTGACTCCGGCAGGAGACTGCAAAGCACGTTCCGTTTGATGTATAGCCGTGAAAACTCTTACGTATATATCAAAAGGACTTTGAGGATGTGCCAAACGAGTTCGCTGCTCGGGGACCAGGTGCCGTAGCATTGCAGCAGGTACGGCAGCTCGAAGCGCAGAGGAACAAATCGGACCAGCTTCAGCACCACCAGCTCAGGTATATCTGCGAACAGAGAATGGTGTGAAGATCTTCTTCCGAACCATCTTTATTTGACAGTCCGAGCAGAAGAGCGTACAGAAGAACCGCTCTGCGAGACCCGGTGTTGAAGCTGGTGGTAGGACCTCTTGGGAGTCCGCACGGGTAGGCACCACCACCGTGCCTATTTCTGCCGTGAAGCAGTAATGCGTTTCGGTTTGAAGGGTGGGGCAGCCGTTGTTATTATACTGAGACCTTACAACTTATCTCCAGGTGGGTGGCGCATTTACGATGTAGATGTCTATGGACTCCAATAACCATTTAACAACAGGTGGGCCGTGAGTTCGTCTACCCATCTAAGCAATAAAAAAAAAGCTCACTCACAACCCAGCACGCCTCCGATCTTGGTTTAAGTAGAGTAGCAGATGAGTCCAACCCTTTTAATTACCTCTGAAGGCTAGGGTTAGGATTGTAAATCTAAATGGATAAACAACACCATTCAGCTTATTTTTGTCGCGACGATGCCCTACTTTCTGTTTTGGAAGGTGAGACAGCTCTAATACTTTTTTTTTTCTCCTTTTTATTGCCCTTGTAGGCAGACGATCATACGGCCCACCTGATGGTGAGTGGTTACCGTCGCCCATGGACTTCAGCAATGCCAGGGGGAAGAGCCAAGCCGCTGCCTACCGGACATAGATAAGAGATACTTTAACCTTGTGTTTCAAGCTGGGTGGCAGCACTCTCGGATTCGGGGACCACTTAACACCAGATAGGCCGTAAACTCGTTCATTTATTGAAGCAATAAAAATTAAATACATATATTTAATTCAAAAATCAGCTATTCATACCATGCCTTTAGTTGATTAAAAGATTCAATTCGTTTATTTTTTTATTGCTTAGATGGACGAGCTCATATCACATGCACACCTGGTGTTAAGTGGTTACCGGAGCCCATAGACATCTAAAACGTAAATGCCGCCACCCACCTCGAGACATGAGTTCTAAGGTCTCACTTTTTTAACAGTACAACGGCTGCCTTTTTAACAGTACAAGGTCGGTGGTACCTACCCGTGCGGACTCACAAGACGTCCCACCACCAGTAAATATTAGTGAAATTCATTTTGAATTATCATAGAAGACAAACTAGTATCCAAGTTCCTTTGTTTATAATTGATGAGAGAATGTTAAGTAGTTAACTTTTGTTTTCATGTTGTTTTCAAATAAACTTTTTTTGTCGTACTGTTAACATTTAAATTTAGCCTATTTTTCCGCTGTTTGTAAAATTGCTGTAACATGCCATAGTGTTGTTATAAGAGATTGCTGTACATGCCTGTAACTGGCTAACATACCAGTACTTAATTATATACATGTTAATTTTAAGCTTGAATGTTTTGTGTGTATTGCTGTTGGTGTGTCTAAATAAATAAATAAATAAAAATACACATATTTATGTAGTGGGCGACTAATTGTTTGCGATATACAAGTATCCGTGGTATTGCTCACAAGTTACTCATGTGTGGGATGTAGCAACGCCTACACTTGTTGTTAATACCCGAACATTAAACATGTATACACTTATTTCTTCACGAAGTACTCCAGTATCAATAAATACAATAATAGAAAAATATTTTATATTTCTGAACATTTCAATGCACATTGGAACCGTTTTCTTTGAACAAAATTACGCCAAGGTTTGCGTGGGGGAAACAAAAAGAAAAACAATTCTCAAATATCTTTGGTACTTATAAATTTCGAACAAAGAGTGTTGAATGAATGTGATTTCTCGAAGTGAAAGTATAGCTGGTAGCTCTCATCCGATTAAAAACTTTATAACTTATAGTTTGACGCCTTCCGCTCTAGTACTAGGAATAGGGACCCCGGTAACCGTACTCGTCGAACTCGGCAAAGAGTTTGACGTGCAACCTAGCGATAGGCAGCGGCTTGGTTCTGCCCCTGGCATTGCTGAAGTCCATGGGCGACGGTAACCACTTACCATCAGGTGGGCCGTATGCTCGTCTGCATAAAAGGGCAATAAAATAAATAAATAAACCTAAACATCAGCCCGTTGAGTTTCTCGCCGGGTTTTTTTAGCGACTCGCGATTCCGATCCGGTAGTAGATTCATTCGCGAAGCAGCTACTCTTGAAGTCGTCGTGGCTTAAAGGATATGACGTCCGGTGCATTCGTGTTGAACGATGCACTGGTGTTCGAATCACAGGCGGGTACCAATTTTTCTAATGAAATACGTACTCAACAAATGTTAACGATTGATTTCCACGGTTAAGGAATGACATCGTGTAATAAAAATCAAACCCGCAAAATTATAATTTGCGTAATTACTGGTGGTAGTTATTGGAGGTGGTGGTCACCACGTGTGAGTCCGCGCGGATAGGTACCACGTAAGCGGATCAGATATGAAAGTTTCTATAATGATTAGTATATTTATTGGAAAGGTGCATCAGTAAGTAGTTTATATATTCTGTCTCTGTATTAAATATTTCTCCTGACAAAAGCCTTCATTCTCCATTAATTTCCATTGTTTTCTGTATCTCGACAATCTCCATCGCTCAAACATGTTAACTTATCTGTCAATTAACGGCGTCTGAGGGTAATCTTTCTCTACGGCTACAAATTTCTAAACGAAGCCGTCACTCATTCCAATTATAATGGTAAGATATTTTGGGGAGTTTACGACGAAAGGAAAGATCTTCCACCGAGCGGGTGATATTGCTCGGTAGACAGACGGTCCGAATGTTGTTGTTCGGAACTTGTATATATGCGCTTTATCTTGAAAATGTCGTAAGCGAGATTCAGGCATCTGTCAATTATCTTGCGTTGTATGATGGCTACCCGCCACAGACTTCAAATTAACACTTCAAATTGTGTCTTACTAGCGACCCGCCCTCGCTTCGCTTCGGAAACTGTAATTTATTATTGATTTCTCCACTATTTAATGGATGTTATTATTCATATAAACCTCCCTCTTCAATCACTCTATTTATTAAAAAAACCGCTTCAAAATTCGTTGCGTAGTTTTAAAGATTTTTTTTTTTTTAATACTGAGATGTGTGGACGAGCTCACAGCCCACCTGGTGTTAAGTGGTTACTGGAGCCCATAGACATCTATAACGTAAAAGCGCCACACACCTTGAGATATAGTTCTAAGGTCTCATTATTGTCACAACGGCTACCCCACCCTTCAAACAGAAACGCATTACTGCTTCACGGCAGAAATGGGCGGGGCGGTGGTACCTACCCGCGCGGACTCACAAGAGGTCCTACCACCAGTATTTAAGCATACATAGGGATATAGGGACAGAGAAAGCGACTTTGTTTTATACTATGTAGTGAAGATGGATATTGTCGTCGAGTTCGTTAACTCGCAATATACAGAGAAGTTTAACGACCCGCGTTTGATCTATAAGAAGAATCCTCAATTTTTGACGAATGGCATATTATTATCATCCGATACATCTATTAAAGCCTATACAGAGTTCAGTCATCACACTTGTATAACACAAAAATGAACGAAGCCTCCAAAAAGCTATAGAATAAAGTCGCGAATCAATTCGTCAAGAGATCAAAAGTATGTTTTATGTATACGGCAAAACCTTATGTTCCATTTTCCATAGAAGTCTTAAATGAGGGTACCTACCCCTAAATCAGGGATGCGAGAAACAAAACTTTCTAATGAAAACGTTTGATGAGGACTAATGTAGGCTTTTAGGGAAAAATTCATTGGTCCGGCACACGAAGGGAACGCTTGTTCTAATTACAATATTCTCGTTGGGAATTGTATCAAATAATCACAAAATTTAAATGTTATATAAGCAATTTATTTACGGAATAATTGAAACCAAACAGTTCCATGTTTGCTTTTTTTGCTTACCGGTAGAACGAGCTCACTGCCCGCCTGCTGCTAACTAGGAACCTGAGTTCCACCACATACCTTGAGGCTTGAGGTCCACGTCTCAATTGTAATAAATTAACACAAATTATAATTTTTACGCGTTTTATTTTCTTAGAAGATGTTAATCCTACATCGTAGAAGTCATTCGTGTACATAACAATATGTCGAGTACAACAATGGTTTCATTAGATAAAATAACCGCCTGCGTGATTCGAACGCCGGCACAGTCGCATCGCCCGATACCAGTACAAAACTTCGGTAGCCTCTTTGCCTAGTTCGACGAGTAGGGCTACCGGGGAGCAACCTAATCCATACGAAGATGTGCTAGGGTTTCCCAGACTCGAAATTGACGTTCCAATTATTTCCCCTCACACACAATTGCAAAACGTTAGTACTACTGGATTCTTTATGTAAGAAGCCATTTTCTTGGAGCCTTAACCCACTGAGTTTCTCGCCGGATCTTCTGAGTGGGTCGCGATTCCGATCCGGTAGTAGATGCATTCGTGAAGCAGCTGCCCTTAAGAAGTTAGGTCTCATTTGAAGGCGCTCGGGCAACTGTTAGCAAATCCCACCCCTCCTGGCTGAGCCTTTGCTCGACGAAATGTTCTGGTGAAATTGGAAAGGCTTTTGGGCCACCCGTAATCCCTTAATCATAAAAAACCAATACACAAAAATTAAAAATTATCGTATGCTCAGTAGCTATGATCAAACAACTCAGTCTAATAAATTACAAGTGCTTAAATGATGCACTGTGTATGTATCACACAAACAAAAGATTTTAAACTTACTGAAGCACAAAGAGACGAGCCATATAATCAGTATAGCGGTCTTGGCGCGGCCCGTGGTCGACTTGAACTTCAGCGGGAAGCAGATAGCGTACCAGCGGTCCACAGAGATGAAAGTCAGCGTCAGAACTGACACCGTCACTGATACTGACTGAAATAGAAAGAGAAAATCAATAAAACAGATTAGGCTGTCTGATTATGAATAGAAAACACATTTCACCTTATAGCTAAAAACTAAAAGACTAGACTAGAAGGTCTTGTTGGAGACCTATGAAGTCGTTGGAATATTTTTTTTTATTACTTAGATGAGTGACGACACACGATCCACCTGCTATTAAATAGTTACCGGAGCCCTTTTTTATTTTTTTTATTGCTTAGATGGGTGGACGACCTCACAGCCCACCTGATATTAAGTGGTTACCGGAGCCCATAGACATCTACAACGTAAATGCCACCACCCACCTTGAGACATGAGTTCAAAGTTCTCAGTTTTAACAGTACAACGGCTGCCCCACCCTTCAAACCAATGACCATCTTATTTGCAGCTTCTTATTTCCAGTCAAGATAATGTTCATTTTAGAAACAAGACTTTCTTTTCCTACTTTTGAAAATTTGAATGATTTGATAATATAAAATAGGCCAGATTGTTACGAAGTTAGAAAAGTAAGAAAAGAAAAAAAGCTCGGGCGAAATATAAATAAGTTGCTACTAGGCCGCTTATTAGATAAAGAGGGACCTTTATCTAAAAGAGGGATCCTTATCTAATAAACGGCCTAATAGGAAAAACATCGAAAAAGTCCTTCTTATTTAACATACATTTAACGGCCGTCTGGTGGTAAGTGACATTGTCACCGCACAAGGGGGTCGCGGGTTCGAATCCCGCCAAGGGAAGATATTTGTATGGTAAATAAAAAAGGAATTTCCAAGGCTATGGATGTATATTAAATATGTGTATGTGTATAATAAAAATGTTATATTTATTTTCCGTTATCTGGTACCTGTAACACAAGTTCTTTACGAACTTATCACGGGACCAGTTAACGTGGCGTGACTGTTAGTAAATATTTATTTATTTATTTATTTTATAGCTTACCATTATTATATCATCTGTCCTACCAATCAATAAAAACTAGATAGGATCGTAATAACTACGAATGCGGTCTCAAGATACGACCTACTACTAGACAAGTAATCTACATGAACTGGGACAAACGGACCGTCCTGTCTATTCAGACAACGCAATTAAGACTTTAAACCAATATATTAAGGTGGAATTTGTCATTCGCTTTATAACAATAAAAATAATAATTCTTATTGTTAGCTATCTGGTAAGCTTTTGAATACAAACTTGGTCACGACATGACGAAAATCGTCTGACCGATCATGTGGTCAGTAGCTGACCACGAAATACGGGTTCGAATCAGTATCTTTGCCAAAGATATTTGGGATTAGGAGGTCAGAGTATGACTTTAACTTATCCCTCATACGTTTACAACGTCCCAACCGCAGAGAAAATACTAGATTTAAAACAGTAATTGATTGTCGTTCATTTAAGCATGACACTTAATACCATCCTCCAAGTTATTATTTTTATTGCTTGGGTGGGTTGGCGAGCTCCTGGTGTTAAGTGGTTACTGGAGCCCATTTACATCTACAACGTAAATGCGCCACCCACCTTGAGATATAAGTTCTAAGATCTCAAGTATAGTTACAACGGCTGCCCCACCCTTCAAGCCGAAACGCATTACTGCTTCACGGTAGAAATAGGCAGGGTTTTTTTTATTGCTTAGATGGGTGGACGAGCACACAGCCCACCTGGTGTTAAGTGGTTACTGGAGCCCATTTACATCTACAACTTAAATGCGCCATCCACGTTGAGATATAAGTTCTAAGGTCTCAGTATAGTTACGGTACAGGGTGGTGGTACCTACCCGTGTGTTTAGTAACGGCTTAACCAAACGAAAGTGCAAGGTAACGCTTAAAAAAACAAAAAAAAACGTGTTCAAGCCAGCGAGCTGTCAAATTTTACGAGCTATCAAATATATGAAGTGTAGCTAAAACATAAAAAAGCCTTTTTAAATCTTCCACAATTATTTTTTGCATGAATCGTTTCATTATTTTCACTGACTTTTGAGATAGGGCAAACGCGCTGAATTCTACCCTCCGTTTTATCGACCTGACTTTATTCTCAATGTTTACGTATTAAATTAAATTAACAAATTAAAATTTGAAGTCGTCGTGGCCTAAAGGATAAGACGTCCGGTGCATTCGTATGTAGCGATGCACCGGTGTTCGAATCCCGCGGGCGGGTACCAATTTTTCTAATGAAATACGTACTCAACAAATGTTCACGATTGACTTCCACGGTGAAGGAATAACATCGTGTAATAAAAATTAAACCCGCAAAATTATAATTTGTGTAATCACTGGTGGTAGGACCTCTTGGGAGTCCGCACGGGTAGGTATCACCACCCCGCCTATTTCTGCCGTGAAGCAGTAATGCGTTTCGGTTCGAAGGGTGTGGTAGCCGTTGTAACTATACTGAGACCTTAGAACTTATATCTCGAGGTGGATAGCGCATTTACGTTATAGATGTCTACGGGCTCCAATAACTAGGTGGGCTGTGAGCTCGTCAATACATCTAAGCAATAAAAAAATAAAAATACAATGAATGCCGAATGAAACACTTCCTCGCTGCTAGCGGCCAATTTATCACGCATCGAAAATGATTCGATTTATTTTCAAAATAAAAAAAACGCGCCATCTCTCCAATTTGGCGCCACCAATCCCTTTGTCGAAAAACCTGTTGACACGTCACTTCACCTGTTGCTCCATGAAAAAAATAATTCAGTCTGTTCTATAAACACCAGATTTTCAGTTAGGCTGCCGGTTTCGTGCTTATAGAAGCACGAAAAAGGACATGTGCATTTCACACGCGGCAAAAGTGAAAGCTTCAGAAGTATTGTATCTCTTTATCGCACCCCAGGCTCAACCAGCCAGCTCGGGCACATCTCAGCCTCCTCTTCCCCCCCACAGCGCGAGCGGCATAGCGACCGATAGGCGACGCAGCCTGCCGGGTTCGCTGCATGGCTTCTCAGATTGTGGGAGAACTTGACCGAGGTGATCTCCGGAGTAATCCGTGAGATCGCCTCAGGTTCCAGCCCCTTCGGGGCTATCCTGTCGGGGTTCTACCAGTTGATGGCGAGGCTCAATGGCTAGCCAAGAGCTTCGCATCATCTATTGGAACCCCGACGGGATAAAGTCCCGGAAAAACGAGCTGCTTGTTCTCGCCCAGGAGTACAACCCTGAGGTTCTGCTCCTGGGCGAGACCAAGCTACGCCCTCAGGATGCGTTCAGGATTCCCAGCTACTTCATGTACCGACGTGATGAGCTTACCACTGCCGGGCGGCCGTTCAGGGGCACTGCGGCCCTCGTCAGGCGGGACGTGGTGCATGATCAGTTGGATTTGCTGTCCTTCACATCGACACGATCGGTCGGTGTGAGGGTACACACCTCGGGGGGGGATACGCGGATTTATGCCGCGTATAGACCCCCGGGGCCTGAATTTCACCCTGAGGACATAAGACGGGCCCTGAATCACGACAGCCGCCCAGCTCTGCTGGTCGGGGACCTCAACGCGAAGCACGTCGCGTGGGGCTCCCGACTTAACTCAGCAGTGGGTAGGCGGCTGTTAGAAGATGCCGATAGGGGCGACTACTCTGTGGTCGGCCCCGACGAACCCCCACACATTCCAACCGCCGCGCGCTATCAGCCCGATGTGCTGGATGTGTGTGTGCACAAGGGGCTACGGTGCCCCGTAACGATCGAGGCACTGTACGACCTGGGTACCCCCCACCTCCCTATCCTGGTCACCCTGGGAATGGGGCTCACCCGGGTTGCGACCTCGCCCCTACCACCGAAGGTCGACTGAGAGCTCTTTAAGAGACATCTAGTCGACCTTCCCGTGATTCAGGACCCCAACACCCTTGATGGGGTCGACGATGCGGCAGTCCGCCTCGTTGACTCCATCAAGGGAGCGATCGATCAGGCGACGACTCTTGTGCCCAGCGGCGGGCCCAGAGGTAGACTCCCGGCCCATCTGAAGGCGATTATTCGCCGGAAGAGGGGCCTGAGGAGGCTCTGGGCGACAACTCGTTGTCCCAGGATAAAGCGCGAGCTTAATGATCTGGAAGCGGGGCTGGAGACAAAGATTAGCTCCTTCCGGGGCTATGCCTGGCAGGAGAGGATCGAGGAGGCCTGCGAGGATCCCTCCTCAGTATCTCTACACCGGCTTTGTCGCCAGCTCTCAAATCGGCCTGCCCCGACTTGTCCACTTGTGGACGAGAGGGGCAACCGATGCTTCTCGGCTCAGGCCCGCGCCGATGTCCTGGCCGTAATGCTGGAGCGGCAGTTCGCTCCTAATGACTCTGCACCCTCAGAGGCCGCATTCCACCAATCGGTGGAAGAGAGCGTAGGAAGCCTACTCTCCTCCCCGGTGCCACCGTTGGGAGATGATGATTTCATCACTCCCAGCGAATTGCGCCTCATCATCAAGCGGATGAAGAGCCGCAAGGCGCCGGGTGAGGACGGTATTCCCTCCCTCGCATTCTTCCACTTCCCTGAAACGGTCGTGTCATACATGACACGGCTGTTCAATTCCATTCTGTCCACAGGACACTTCCCGGGAATTTGGAAATTGGGCAAGGTTATCGCCTTGCCCAAACCCGGCAAGGATAGGAAAAATCCCTCCAGTTACCGTCCGATCACTTTGCTGTCGCATGTGGGCAAGTTTTTTATATTATATATAAGTATATATAGATGTAAATTGCAGCCGTGCACGCTGCGAACAGCGTACCTTACCCAAAGTCCTCCCCGCATCTACTTCACCGCTGCCCTATGTGGTCGCACAGATTAAATCTTTGAGCCACCACCCCGCCTACTTTCGCCGTGAAGCAGTAATGCATTTCGGTTCGAAGGGTGGGGCAGCCGTTGTAACTATACTGAGACCTTAGAACTTATATCTCAAGATGGGTGGCGCATTTACGTTGTAGATGGGCTCCAGTAACCACTTAACATCAGGTGGGCTGTGAGCTCGTCCATCCATCTAAGCAATAAAAAAAAAGTTACATATTTATTTCCATTTAGTGTCGCTTTTTCGTTTTATTCAGTTTCGAAACAGAACGGTGGTTAAGAAGCTTTCACTTTAATAAATATGCTTTTCGTATTCATAAAATAGTTATGATTTCATATTCAAATTAAGATCCTCGTACTCATTTCCTACATATCACACTACTCTTTATACTGAGCGGTGTGACTGCATACAACGAAGCAAGTCATGTTCCGTAATTCATGACCTCCGGAAAACTCTAAAAAGTCTTCATCCAATAACGGCCGTCTGGTGTAGTGGTAAGTGACATGGTCACTACACAAGGGGGTCGCGGGTTCGAATCCCGCCAAGGGAAGATATTTCTATACTAATATTATAAAGAGGAAAGATTTGTTTGTTTGTTTGTTTCGAATAGGCTCCGAAACTACTGGACCGATTTGAAAAATTCTTTTTCCATTAGAAGCCGACATTGTCCCTGATGAACATAGGCTACTTTTTTTTTAATTTTTTTTTTTTTGGTTTCATGTGTGTTTTAATGTTTCCGAAGCGAAGCGAGGGCGGGTCGCTAGTNTCTATACTAATATTATAAAGAGGAAAGATTTGTTTGTTTGTTTGTTTCGAATAGGCTCCGAAACTACTGGACCGATTTGAAAAATTCTTTTTCCATTAGAAGCCGACATTGTCCCTGATGAACATAGGCTACTTTTTTTTTAATTTTTTTTTTTTTGGTTTCATGTGTGTTTTAATGTTTCCGAAGCGAAGCGAGGGCGGGTCGCTAGTGTATGATAAATATAAATATCTTTTCCAGGGTTATGGATATAACTAGTCAGGTCATAAGTATTGAAAAACTGAACATCGTTTGAATGCTCGTCTAATGGACCTGAGACTGAAGAGATGCCGCGCTTTGTTGAAGCGGTACGCGGGAAAAATATATCAGGAAATCCTTTTTTCGGATGAAAAATTTTTTACCGTAGAAGAGAGCTACAACAAACAAAATGATAAGGTGTACGCACACAGTATTGAAGAAGTGAGCAACCGTATTCCGCGTATCCAACGAGGTCATTTTCCATCCTCGCTCAGGGTATGGTTGGGAGTTTTTTATTGGGGCTTAACAGAAGTACATTTTTGTGAGAAAGGTGTAAAAACGAATGCAGTTGTGTATCAAAACACAGTCCTGACGAACCTTGTGGAACCTGTTTCTCATACCATGTTCAGTAACAGGCACTGGGTATTCCAACAAGATTCGGCGCCAGCTCATAGAGCGAAGAGCACACAAGACTGGCTGGCGGCGCGTGAAATCGACTTCATCCGGCACTAAGACTGGCCCTCCTCCAGTCCAGATTTGAATCCGTTAGATTACAAGATATGGCAATACTTTGAGGAAAAGGCGTGCTCAAAGCCTCATCCCAATTTGGAGTCACTTAAGACATCCTTGATTAAGGCAGCCGCCGATATTGACATGGACCTCGTTCGTGCTGCGATAGACGACTGGCCGCGCAGATTGAAGGCCTGTATTCAAAATCACGGAGGTCATTTTGAATAAACTTTAGTGTCCTAAGAATCTATGTTTTGTTAAGTTAATTTTGGTATATGAATGGTTACATAGTGAATAAACTTGTTTCAATTATTTTACATTAAACACGTGACAGAATTTATGACCTGACTAGGTATGTATGTGTATAATAAAAATCTTACATTTATATCCGTTGTCTGGTACCTGTAACACAAGTTCTTTACGAACTTATCACGGGACCAGTTAACGTGGCGTGATTGTTAGTAAAAATATTTATTTATTTACTTAAAAAAAAAAAACATTAATATTGTTACAGAAAATTAAAAATCACAAATCAGCTTTCGTCTTTCCGAATGAATAATTCGTGTATTAACACAAAAATGCTACAGATCAAACGATGATAACAAAAATCTAATTCAAATTCTAACTACGTTAATTTCGAAGTTATTTTCTAAAATAATTCGAACTGCGTATTTATTCTGTTGGAAAAAAAAAAAACCTTTTTTCTGGATAGGCAAACACACTTATTCCACTCGAAGTAGCTTTAACCACGAATGAGTGTTTTTCAATAAGGACGTACTCGTGTGTAATCCAGTTATTTGAGGGCTCCTTTGGCTAAAACGTTTTTCTACTGGAACGCTTGATGTAAATTCTCTCGACTTTAGTCGCATATGTGAGATCAGAAATTGTGAAAGAATCCAGAAGCTATTTATTTATGCATGTACATTACATGTAACATTACTTCTAATATTATATCTTGCGTGTCGGGGATAAGATATGTTATGTATTGCACTGCAAAATCCTGCACACTATCGAGATGAACCGATCATTTGATTCAGTTTGTGGGGGGGGGGGGTAACATTTTGAAAGCATTGGCTTCAAGTGCTGAAATTATTAGAAAATTTCGCGCTATGGTCTAGGATCTAGTTTAAAGGTTCAGCATCGAGCGAATCGTAGTCTGACTCAGAGAGTTCTGCCTCATCCGAGGTGCGGATACGGGTTTTTGAGCAACAGCGTGCTTAGTTACTTCAACTTCGACATTCCCCACCAACATATCGCGCCCAAAGTGTAGATGAAAGTTCGACGATAGCATCTAGACCAAAACAATACCTTTTGTTTTCACCTATTAATAGTTTGACAGATCCATTAGACTCTAACAATGTGTAAATTCATATTATAGACAAAGAATAGCAGATACATTTTCTGGCGTCAATAAATAAACGGGTGTAATAACAGGCTTATTGACCAACCTATTAGTAAACTAAGAGATGAAATCAGATTCTTCGATGTATTATAATAACAGCTATTCTTGCCCTTGGATGAATGAATAACATGAAACATGGAGATACTTGAGAGATACCTATTGTACGTACAAAATACTGCTAAATATTATATATTTGGAGTTTCTTTGTTTATCTTATATCCATCAGTTCTCACCCTCAGGGGATTTGACTTCCATATCGTAAACTTCTGTAAGTAAATTACTTATTAAATGAAAACCCTGTGAGAACCCAATCCGACTTGACGATTTCAAAGTTTTAACAATCGCTGGGCCTCATTCTAATTTCTCTTTGGGTTTAGACCGCATAATCCTTGTCGCGTAATCATTCGAAGCGTCCCTAATAGGCCCTATTGTATATGCTTATCTCTTTCAAATGATCTTGGTCAAACACCAAACGACAATATAAATAGAAGGATATCAAAGAATTTATGTTATGGTCTTCGAAAAAGAAATAATAAAAAACAAGCTAATTTCTATATCCAAGATATGAAAAATCTTGAATACTTATAATACATTTTTACAAGACCAATGGTCTAACAGCATTGTCTCTTAGTAAAACTACCCAAAAACTTAAGGTATAAGTGATAAGTTAAGTTAATAATTAAGCTATGGAGAGCTGTTGAGCTTTCCATAGCTAGATGACATGAAAAAGTTGGTCTTTAAGGTCTACGACGGGCTATAAATTCTTCTTCCAATATACGATTTGAGACTGGTGGTAGGACCTCTTGTGAGTCCGCGCGGGTAGGTACCACCACCCTGCCTATTTCTACCGTGAAGCAGTAATGCGTTTCGACTTGAAGGGTGGGGCAGCCGTTGTAACTATACTTGAGACCTTAGAACTTATATCTCAAGGTGGGTGGCGCATTTACGTTGTAGATGTCTATGGGCTCCGGTAACCACTTAACACCAGGTGGCCTGTGAGATCGTCCAGCCATCTAAGCAACAAAAAAATAATAATACGAAAACAGCATTACCGACGCCCATAATATTTAGCCGTGTAAATGAACATATCAGTTTCCTCCTCAAACGCGTGTTCAATAATGGAATGTGTCCAATAACGCAATAGGGTGTCTTTATTTCTAGCGTTGCATTACAGCATATCATTAAGAAAGTATGAAACAAACCTGAAAATAGGGCAGGACTTTACAAAGCCCTTCCCCAAGGAACCAAGTCTCAGTCACGTCCCACAGCACCGTCGCCGGCAGACAAAATAATATCACCATGAAATCTGCCACAGCTAGGTTGACAATGAAATAATTTGTAACAGTCCGCATTGAGTGATTCCTGTAAACCGCGACGCACACCAGCGCGTTCCCAAATAATCCGGTTATGAACACAAACGTGTGTGTAGCTATCAATATCCACTCGTACGGGTTTGGGTAAATATATTCTTGTATCATTTTGACATACTCCTCCTTTGTCATGTTGCAGTATTGTGGATCTCCAACGCAGGTTTCATTCTCTGCTTCCTCAAATTCACTAGAGTTCGTATCTGTTTTAAATCTATCATCATATTCGCTTATGATTTTGTTGGCTTTAATTTTTTTTGGTACATTCAGATCATCGTCTACAGTTGTCATTTCAAACGATTCTTGTTTGTCAGCTATGTACAAATTCAATTGTTTGGTTGTGACATCATCGTCTGCTAATATATTTTCTTTGTTTAGCACAAAGATAAACAAAAATAGTTTATTCACAAATGACACGGCCATTTTGGGAACTATTCGTTGATGTTTTATCGTCTAGCGTTTGAATCTGAAACGAAACAAAGACAATAATTAAATTTAAGACAAACATGCATTTGTTGTATTACTCAAACAAATTCAAAAGTAAATACTTTCTAATCTGAATAGATTTCTAAGCATAGAGTACAGATTTATAACTGGAAATCGTGTGCTAAGCTGTTGTTTCTAACTACCTAGCTTTAATGTTCACTTTCGTAAGGAGTTCGAAGTTAGAATCTTGAAATATAAAGGTCTCTTATTGGCAAAATGCCGAAGATAAAGTCTTGCCCCAAGTGATGAGTAGTATAGAACACATAGGTAAAATTAATGTGGATACGGCCACCTTGATACATTAAGTAGAAGCCTGAATTATTGTGCAAATCGGTTGTCGCACCTTTCCACTGGAACGCGTGACTGCTTCGCGATAGAAACTAAGTCGATGGTGGTAGCTACCAATGCAAACGTCCAATATGGGCATATCCAGTATAATTTTCAGGGCCATATAGTATTGTATGTGCTATTGATAATGTCGACTTTTTTTTGGTATTTAATGCACACTAATTAACCTTACTTTATTCAAAATCTATATATATAAAAATGAATTGCTGTTCGTTAGTCTCGCTAAAACTCGAGAACGGCTGGACCGATTTGGCTAATTTTGGTTTTGAACTATTCGTGGAAGTCCAGGGAAGGCTTAATTAATTAAATATGAAAATGCTCGGAATTAAATAAAATATCAACAATTTTGTTTTTCCTTTGATATGTCCCGCGTCGGACGGATTCCTTTTGTTTGTTTTAAGTTTATTTTATACAAAAGTTTAGGTCTTTTATTTCTCGATTGAGGCACTACGAAGTCTGCCGGGTCAGCTACTAGCTCATAAATTTTGACTGACTCGTTGGTGCATTAGGTAGCGGTTCTGACTGTTGCGCCAAGGGTCGTGGGTTCGATTCCCGCATCGGGCAAACATATATGTGATGAAGAGGTTTGTTTTTTCTTTGGGTGTTTACTGTCTAAATACATATGTATATATTTAAAGTATATGTATGCCAGTCTCTGGTCAGCCACAACACAGGCAATCCTAATTCATTCCCAGTTATTAATTATTTATTTATTTATTTAGTTTTTTTTATTTTTTTTTATTGCTTAGATGTGTATTTAATTCCGTTGTTTTCGTTAGCAATAAAACTATAGTAACCTTTGTTATGTAAACACGCCTTTATCCGACAATTAGCTCTCAATAACGCATCGAAAGCTGTATATCAGGAAATAATTTGCCAATAAGCTTATCTGGAGATAAAAGCAACTTAATTGTGATCGGTGCTTATCCGATGGATATTTTGTATCCATGGATCAGCGCGTCGTGATAAAACCACGACTGATAGAACTCGCATACTTGTCAAAGTATAATTATATATTTTTATGGCATAGTTTAGAGGGAGTCTTTAGACAATGATGCATTGTGTCTTTAAAGGAACACTATCTATCGATTTAGTATTACCTTTAAGTATTTATTTTATGTATTTGTACTTCTTTTTTTTCCTACCTAAGCTGATAGCCTTAGGGGCTATTTCAGCATAACCCTAACGTTTGTAGGTGAGCTCACGGGCTCAAACCTGATGACGTTGCTAACACGAACCCTAGCAAGAGCCGTGCTTCGCAGAATCTACCAACGGATCGGAAACGCGACCCACTGAGAAGATCCGGCGAGAAACTCAGTGGGCTGTATCTGAGAGTTAATTTACTCGTCGAGCCCTTCGTCGCAAGCGACGGGTTCTACGAGAACGGTGACCGGTGCTTGAAGTACCTAAAAGCACCGTTAGTGGATCGGGAGGATCCGAGATGACGTGTTTTGGGTGACGTCGACTGCTTTCCATTCTGTCCGCAGGATCGGGAATGTAGTTACCGGCGGCCACGATGAGGGGGTTATCGTGTCTTTTTTTTATGTTTGAAGGATTACTGGTGGCCCGGAGGCCTTTCCTGTTTCACCAGGACAGGTGGGCGAGCAAAGGCTCAGCCAGGAGGGGTAGGTTCTCGTGTCGTACCGCTTTATCGAAGTGGTATTTGTACTTGTTATTCGTGCGTGTATGTACGAGTATATGTCTCTGTTATTTATGTGTGTAATTCTGTATGTATGTAGTCTGACATGTTATTTAAATAGTTTAATCCTTAAATTGATGTTTCGTATCGTAGTTATAATCATTTTAAAACCGTTTTAAAACTCGAGCCCCAAATACATGTTTACGTTTTAATAAACCAAACATTCACACTCTGATTTATCGTTTCCAATGAAAATATTCAATTTAACAGACAAAATTTCATGAAAATTCTCACGAAACATTTTTATTGGTTCATATAAATAAGAGTGTTATATATGATTTGTTTATGAGTAGACGCCGCGTTTAGTTTTAAGCTCTTGCTAATAGACGTTGGACAAGTTGTTTGGCACTGAGCTTGGGCCATGCGCTTAGCGTTTTTTTATTATTTTTTTATTGCTTAGATCGGTGGACGAGCTCACAGCCCACCTGATATTAAGCGGTTACTGGAGCCGATAGACATCTACAACGTAAATGCGCCACCCACCTTGAGATATAAGTTCTAACTCAAGTATAGTTACAACGGCTGCCCCACCCTTCAAACCGAAACGCATTACTGCTTCACGGCAGAAATAGGCAGGGCGGTGGTACCTACCCATGCGGACTCACAAGAGGTCCTACCACCAGTAATTACGCAAATTACAATTTTGCGGGTTTAAAATGATAATAGTCGAAATAGCCGAAATAGTCGCCTTAACGAAGCCCAAACACATTTATTACGGACTAGTAGTCCCCTGGTAGTCGAAATTCAACTATAATCAATTGAAATTATAAATTTGTACACTATTACGGTTCTATTGTCAAAGACTATTATACTTTTAGAATCACAGATTTCGTCAGGACTACACTTTAGACAAATATTAATAAAGACAAACAATATTTAATCTATTCTCAATTCGACCACAGACTATAAGCAATAAGAAAAGTTTGACAATATACAAATAATATGCTTGCGTGTGTGTGTCAAATATATGGTAGGGTGTTTTTTTTATAGATTTAATGTATTTTATATGCATAATTTAAAAAAATATTAACATTCTGCATTCCTTCTATACATTCTCTATAAATGTGGCAATTTTCATAATCCTCCGTCCCCGCAATTTTCGTAAAAAGAGGTACAAAGGTTTTGCTTCACGTATTAATAAATAGATCCGATACGGTGACGATTTCATTCCAAAGCGTAAGACATGAGGCGTGTTTGGTACTAACTGTTGCTACTTTGGTACTGGCTACTAATCTCAATCCTGTTCAGAATATTAATCCAAACAAAAAAAATTCATGTCAATGAATGGCTTGAAGTTGAAAGGTAGTTTTTTTGCTGAGATGGATGAACGAGCTCACAGCCTACCTGGTGATAAGTGGTTTCAAAAATTTACCTATGAGATTACTCGCCGGCTTCGTAGCCACAAAAAAAAACATAAACAATCTATAATGAAGTAACATGTTATTTAGAAAGAAAACAGTTTTATATCGGTAGATCTCAGTTACATCTGTCTTAATCGGATATTTCAATTATCAAATAGGGGAGAGGGGGGTAGCCCCGGCCATTTTTTTGTTATCGATATTATAACTATATTTATTAAGTAAAATAATAAAAAAAGTATTAAAAATAATCAACATTACATTTATTTAAGAAAAATATCGAAAACTCAGACAACAACATAATCCCTCTGTAATTAAAGCGACTTGAAAAAGTAATCAAATTTTGGTATCCCTTAAAGATGGCGGATAGCTACATACTCGTCTCGTTAAGAATAACAATATTCTGTTAACTAACAACAAATCTTGAAGATCAGAGTTAATAATACTATACTGCTAAAAAAAACAACACTAGAAAGTATAATTATTTTAACGTATTAATATATTCTTTTTAGACTGGTATTACTGGTGGTAAGACCTCTTGGGAGTCCGCGCGGGTAGGTACCACCACCCTGCCTATTTCTGCCGTGAAGCAGTAATGCGTTTCGGTTTGAAGGGTGGGGCAGCCGTTGTAACTATACTTGAGACCTTAGAACTTATATCTCAAGGTGGATGGCGCATTTACGTTGTAGATATCTATGGGCTCCAGTGGTCTCTTACCACCAGGTGGTCTGTGAGCTCGTCCATCCATCTAAGCGATAAAAAAAAAAAAAATTGGCCCTTGAACAAGTTCTTGCTGTTTCCTTTACAAAAATTTTTTTTTTTATTGCTTAGATGGTTGGACGAGCTCACAGCCCACCTGATATTAAGTGGTTACTGGAGCCCATAGACATCTACAACGTAAATGCGCCACCCACCTTGAGATATAAGTTCTAAGGTCTCAGTATAGTTACAACGGCTGCTCCACCCTTCAAACCGAAACGCATTACTGCTTCACGGCAGAAATAGGCGGGGCGGTGGTACCTACCCGTGCGGACTCACAAGAGGTCCTCCACCAGTAAATAAAAGCTTTATTTAAATTATAAGGAACAAAAACATTTTATTCAAAATATTGCCCATCGCTAGCGACTACTTTCTCCCATCTTTTTGGCAGTATAGGAATTCCGCGTATATAAAGGTATAAAATACATGAAACTTCTTACACAATTTCAGGATTTATAAGCACGTATTGCGTCTATAGTCGTTCTAAAGTATACCTGATCGTTCATAAAAGCGCTAAAGCTTCGCAGCGAACAAAAGCTTCAATGAAGGTATTAGCGGTCTATTTTTCTCATAGGTACGTGTCACGTTCGTGAATATTACGATAGAAAAATTCCTGAGTAAATAAGCCAACACACGGCGCTCTTGAGCCGATAATACTACAACAAACTAGATGGCTCCGATTATTAATAGTCTACATGTTAATGTTGTGTCCGGTCTGCGAATATACCTATACAGGGACGTCTTAAATCAGGCTGGGGCCCTTGGGCACACAAGAATTTGAGGCCCTTTTGGAAAGTAAAAAAAGCGAATTATAAT